AAATGAATCAATCCTTCATTACAATAGCTGCCAGTTCCGTCCACCAACCGACGGAATTTATAACGATCGACTTATAAACAAAACACAGCAGCACACAGTTTCATTTTCGAACCTCTTTTAAAAGAGACTTGCATGAACAGCAACTTATTCTGTCATTAAACATTCTTGAATATATGTTGACTTTTCGTGTAAAACGGCCTCACACATAAGTTCCCAAATGGTTTAGACGAGTGCGTGGGCCGGCTGCAACGCAGGCTAGATGTAGGAAGACAAATGAGGTTATGTTAATACTTTGCCGGATAGATATTGCGGAAGCAGGAAAACCATACCGGAAAAATACCCGTCAAATACCACACTTTATTGACCAACATGACAGCCGCTATAGGCCGCCACGTAAATGCCACGTCACGCAAAAGAGTAGAAATTCAAGCGTACTGACTATCACAAAAGGAAAAAAAAAACATTTCGACGTGAAAATTTGTCTCAATATTAGTTTTTAGCTGCTCTAATATTTCATAAAAGTAACAATTCAGAAGGATTGACAATTCTCTAGTTTGAATTTTCAATGACGTCATGTGCATTAAATGTCACAGATTACATTGGATTCAAGTCACGTTCAATGAACAAGAAAAAATCGGCGAAGCAGTATCTGTGGGCCAATTAATTATCCAGTTAGCAAACTCTTTGCTGTATTAAAATAATAGAGCTCACGAATGTTCGTATCATTACCGTCGTCTACATCGTCACGATCTCCCCCTCAAAAAACATTTCCTTTAAATGTGCTTTTATAAAAAAATAAAAAAATAAAAAATAATTAAGGATAATAATAATAATAAAAAAAAAAACAGAAAAAATATGATGTTTGACCACAATTTATAACAAACAGGATGCTCAAAATTACACAGACATGTAGTTATTTACATAAATTTTCTTGGTGTGTTTATACTTGATAAATACGTTAAGTAGTACTAGATGGGCACGATCAGATTGTTTTGGCAAAGAAAAATAAAAACGATCTTATATTTTAAAGCCGCCACAGAACATTTCAACTGACTTGCTTTTTCATTTAGTTAGATATTAGCTTTTTCGAACACAAGCGATCGGTTAACATTTTATAAAAGACTCAAGGGTTTATTTTATTAAACCTTATTTTAGATTGCTGTACGAGTATTTGGCCTTCTGCGACGTAGTGAGTAGCGATCTCTTCTACTTACAGCGAAGGAAAGACCGTCTTTTGAATAGTTGACCAGTTGACCAGTTTTACAAAATGGTAAGCCCGTAGTGCTTTACTTCTTTGCGCTGAGTTTCATGACATCAATGTTTGTTATCTGAGCTCTGTCTGTCCATAAAGTCAAGAATGTGACTCAGTTTCCAAAGGAAGTGTCAGTATTCAAACAATGTTTATGCTTTATCAAGTAGAGCTCTTTTATAGGAAAGGGTTGTTACTGCTAAAGCAGCTTTTCAAATAAAAGGCACAAGCCAGGAAATGGTTCTATAAAGGGAGGGATGAAGGGTCAAAGTCCTTTAAAAATGTCTGCCACGCAGGGTAGACTTGTTAAAAACTCTGCTTATTGCAAAGAAAAAAATTTAAAGGCTGCTTTGAATCGACCCTGAAAGTAGCCTCCCCGCAGACGTCCTTTGGGGTTCGTTTGTCACGCATTCATTTCTCCCCCACGGACGTCTGCTAAACACAGCCGACATTTACGTTCACCAATCACAGGCCGTTTACGGATTTTGGTAAAACGTAACCCGTGCCGCTTCTTAAGATTCGCAGGATCAGGAGGCTTTTGCTCCGAGTGTGCGAGAAATTTGTAATTAATACAGAGTTAAACAAGCATCAGAGAGAAGCTATCCTGCAAATTTAATAACGAAGACCGAATTGTGTTCATAAATTTGCCGACGGGATTTGGCAAATCCCTTATCTATCAAGCTTTGCTACTTGTTTGCGACACAGTGCGTGGAACTACCAGGATGAACTACTGGACATTATTGTTGTTGTTGTTTCTCCCCTGGTAAATCTACAAAGCTGGAAAATATTGGTATTCCTGCTGTAACGCTCAGTGATATTAGCAAAGAGAATATGAGGGTTGTCGAGAGAGGGACTTTCTCTGTTGTTTACGGAAGCCCAGAAGCTTGGTTGAAGATCGATCGGTGGAGAAAATGTTAGCGAGTGACTTGTACGGTTAGTATGTGGTCCTTGGTCGGCGACTTTCCCGAGCATGATTAAATATTTCCTCGAGAAGTAAAATACAATGAACAATGAAAGGTTCAATGATTTATTGATTATAAGCATTCCTTCTTTCTTTGAAGGAGCGAGATTAAAGTTTGTTGACAGGTAGCTTAATTTGTCGTTCTAGTTTGAAGTTTGGACTTCGGCGGCACTGTGGTCATGTTTACTTTATAGCTTGTGAATAAATGATCACAACGGGAAGACGTGCCTTTTTGTAGAACAAGTTTTCAGATAAACCTTTTTCAGCCGTTGGAAGCACATTGCTGTAGACTTCGAATTTTTGTTTTACCGACTCTTGAAAAAATACAACCAAATTTCGCGTACTGGTCCTTGGTCCGCGACCCATGACCTTGGTGGACTTACATTTCGCAAAAAAGGAAACGGCCTTTGTTTTCGAAGAATGCTTTGAATATCTTCCCAATACACGTTTACAAGTGCTCTTTTCTTAATACTTCGAATATATACAGAGTTAATAGTAATTATTGTTTTCGACCGCCCTGAATACCGCTCCGCGCTCGTGTGGGAGACTGTTGTCTGAAGTCTTTCAAAGAAAAGCAGATTATTTTATAGTCACAACTTCCGAAACAACTATACATCTGACTGCAGCTTTATTGCATCGTTTCTGTGATTTTTTTAAAACGTTTGAGTCGTCTCAGGTAGAAGATAGCGGTGCAAATAAATAATTCACTTGAGAATACAAAGACACATCAACGTCCAGAGCACGTTTGATGAGCCTTCCGATGTCGACTGCGCTTTTTCTAAACACACGAACTTGGTCCTTTCCTAAATTACAGCTGCAAAGAAAACAAAAAATTTCGCTTCTTATAACTTTCTTCGGAGTCTCATCCATGCATAGGTATGGAATAAATATTCCTCTATAAAAGCGAGAAATAATTCGTAGGGTGCCGTTTCACTTATATCACAGCGCGTGATTGGCTGATCGTGACACAATAACTAACCGCTTATTGGCTTATTCAAACAATCCAGAACGTAAATGTCGGCTGTGTTTAGCAGACGTCCGAGGGGGAGAAATGAATGCGTGACAAACGAACCCCAAAGGACGTCTGCGGGGAGGCTACCCTGAAAGCAGCCTGATGTTATTCTTAAAGGGACAGGTTCACGGTTAAACGCATGCTCATTAATTAAAAATACTTTTTTCCAATTTACTTTTAATTCTATCGGCTAATAATCGCACTCACATGTATCTCAGGGATCTCTGAGTGTGTTTCAAGCTGGAAGTGTATTTCAGAGTAAAATGGAGTAGGATGGAGGAGTACTAAAATCGCAGAAAAAATTAGTGGATTATGCCAACACTAGACTTTTCATAGTCCCCTATTTTCCCGTAAGATCGTTGAGATCGAGTGCTATGCGTTACGGGTTGCAATCTTGGATGAGTGTCAAAACTACTTAGGGGCGGGGAGCAGTTTAGGAGGAAGCGAGTAAAATAGAGAGACTGTAATAACATCACTGTAGCTCGCGTTCAGGAGACGTGACATGAATTTCACGCCTTTTACCATTCATTAATTAAGAAACTCCGCTGGCGATAAAAAAAACATGCCAGACACATTTAGCACCGATTTTTCGTGTTTACAAATATCTCCTTTCGAAACGATAATTTTATACAACTTTGGGGACATTCATGCAAATAGTATCGGCAAAAAAGCACAGGTGAAACATTTTGCTAATGGCACCCGTAAGCATGCTCGGCTCACCACGATTAAAACGGTTAAACCTCCTGATAAATAGCCAGGCATTTCTGACAGGTCGTTTCTCTTGCGTCGGCGTAGCGTTAAATTTCAATTCGCTTGGCAGAAACGGTGTTACAACATTCTCGGGCTGCTTCAATTTAAAAGCATGTTGGCTTACGTGATTTCTCCGCAAAATGCCAAAATTCCTTCGTGTGTTTGCGCAATGTGCCTTATGATATTATGAAGACGTACGTTTTATAGAAACGACGACTTGTCAACGCCTTGTCAGTGTCGGCAACCTAAACTAAACCCGTTGTCAACGCAAATTAACATATATTGTCTAATGACCAATCAAACGCCTGCGTTGCTGGTGCAACGCGCTCCGTGAACGCGAGCTGCAGTGATGTTATTACAGTCCCTCTATTTTTCTCGTCCCCCTCCCCCTAGAGCTACATGTATAATCCCCGACGCCCGCCCCCTTGGTACATTTGAAAATCAAGATGGCCGCCATTAACGGTAAGACGCGCTATATCACGACGATCTCACGGAAAAATAGGGGACTGTGAACAGTCTAGCCAACACTACCAACGTTGAATTTATTGTTCACCCGAAGGATTTACTCCATAGTTATATAATTTACAGCTATTTGCAAATATCTAAGTTGATCAAGTGTAAATGACTGCCAGGGGAGTGTGCAGATTGGTTCCTTGACAACATTATGACACGATCACGTTGCTTGCATAGACAATACAGCATTTCTCGGCAGAAAAACAGCGTTTTGGCGAATGAGCATGCGCTTAACCGTGAACCTGTCCCTTTAATAAAGCCCTTCTGCTTTCTAATCCAGTAGCTCTGATCATGAAAACAATAATTGCTCATCAAACAGAAACCATTCAAATTATTTAAAGAATGCTAAAAAGGAGACTGGAAAGTAGAAAAAAAAATAAAACAATAAAAATAAAAATAAAAGGACTGGAGGTGCGTTTTAAAAAGCTTTAATAGCTGCTACAAAGAAACTGTTCAATCAGACAGCAGATACGCCTTTTCCACCTTACGGCGATAAGTTAGCCTTGGCTAATGACATGGGTTCGTTCTTTATTAAGAAGATATCGGATCTTCGTGTTAGCCTTAATGCAACTGAGAATTTGTGCAGCACTGTTAACCGCCATTCTTCTCATTGTTCTTCGTCCTTTACTGCTTTCCGCCGTTTAGACATGGACTCTTTAAGAAAACTTGTGCTCAGAGCGCCGACAAAATCTTGTCGCGGCTCGGTTGGTCACCGGAACAGCTAGATTCTGCCATGTTACACCATTGCTTTTTCACCTTCATTGGCTTCCAATAAGTTACCGTATAAAGTTTAAGATTCTACTTTTGACATTTAAGTGCTTATATGGTCAAGCTCCTAATTATCTAATTGATTTCATTACTATCAAAAAGTAATCCAGGTATAGTCAACTCCCTTTATAGCGGACACTGTAGGGACCTTAAGTTAGTGTCCTCTGTAGCGAGAGTCCGTAATAGCGGGAGTTTATTTCAGTCAAACGTCTGTAATTTATTTTTGCCCGGAATTTATCTGCTGTCCGTATTATCGGGGTGTCCGTTATAGCGGGGTGTCCGCAAGGCGAGAGTTGACTGTACTCTCTATGGTCAAATGAGTCTATATTCCTCGAGTTACCAGGCATTAAGACCCATCCAACCCTTGGCGATCGGGCATTCCAGTCTGCTGCACCTTATCTCTGGAATGCATTACCTTCGGCAATTCGCAACATGAAGACATTGGACACTTTTAAGACTGCTGTTAAAACTCATTTTTTTCAATTTAGTTTTTAAATAGATTTAATTGTTGGCTTTTATTATAGGGTTTATTATTATCATTATTATTATTATTATTATTATTATTATTATTATTAGTATTTTATTATTTATAGTTTTTAATACTTTTTATTGTAGTTTTTAACAGTTTCTCATGCTTTAGTCACCTTTAACATAAATTTAATACAACAATATTGTAAAGCGCAACCGAATATATTCATATAGAGGTTTGTGCTATATAAATGTAAATTATTATTATTATTATTATTATTATTATTATTATTATTATTAAATGGTACATTTCCTTACATTTATTCTTCCCTTTCTTTAATTTAAGAGACAATTGGAAGCCATATTAAGGTTATGACTAGTGTTTGTTGTTTAAACAGCGAACGTTTTGCATTTGCATATGCCCTTTCATTTTAACGCAGAGAAAACACTGATAAGATAGTTTTGAACGCTTGTAAGTTTGAATTTTGAGACCGATGTAAGAGAATATCAAAAAATCTTGTGTTATCGTTAAATATTGCAATGAATATAGGAACATAAAAGAACAAGAAAAACTTATCATTGCCTGAAAGGTTTTCTAGTTGTCGCCGTAAACGGCGACTGCTACAGGTCGACTGCAGTTCTAATACTTTTACAGATTTGTTGATTCATCGAAGTTAATATAAAATCTTTTGGTTTTCCAATACATCTCCTCTAAATTCAAACAAATTAACAGTCACATATTGTTTGGCCCTCCGTGGCTTATGCACCTGTTATTGAGTGGACAAGAATTTAAACCACAAAAAACAAACAAACAATCAAATGAAAACAAAGAAATTATCCACTTCTTCTATAAGATAGCATTGTTTATCCTTTTTTCCATCTGGAAGTGGAGTGCGCGTTTTGTGTTCGAGGCGTTCAGAATTCAGGTAGCAGTGCAAAGCAAACTGAAAACAAAAAAACAAAAAAAACAAAAACAAAAAACAACAAAAAAACCCGGGGGAATAAGCTATATCGTATTTTACGATCGTTCTTTTAAGTTACGATGCTGACCTTTCTTTTGATCAAAATACTGATCAAAGGTTATATTCTTACAGGTAACTGTTGCGGACAACACAAACTCAAGAAACAATAACACCATCTGCGAAATAACTCATGACAAGATGATTATTTCCTTTTCCGAGTGCGTCATCTTGTTTACCGTGTTCATCACCGAGTGTGTTGCTATAGTAACGGTGAACCTCCTTTCCATCATTCTTTTCATAAAGAACAAAAGCCTTCGTACTCGCAGCATGTACTTGGTCATGAGCTTAACTGTGGCCGACTTGTTGGTTGGAAGTCTTTCCGGGAGTGTTAATCTGTTTTATGGCCAAAACCGTTATTGTCCCTTTGTAAAATTTTATTCATTATCTTGGGAAGTTATCATTGCAATTGATTTTCTTATCTATTTATTTCCTCTTGTCTCCGTGACAAACATTGCTGTGATTTCTTTAGAGCGATTTCACGCCACGTTTCGTCCGTTTAGGCATCGGCTCATCAAGAGATGGATCTACGTGGTAGCAATTGCTGTTGTCTGGGTTTTTTCTATCATTACATCAGTCATTATAGGGATAGGAAGGTTTCTGATGACACACCACCTTTACTTGTTGGAATCACACTGTTGTTTATGTTTAATGGCTACCTTTGTTTCTTACACGTCCATTCTGTTTAAGTTTCGTTTTGGAGCTCATCCTCAGCGCCATTGTGCAGCTGCTTTAAGACAAAGAAAACTGACTGTCACATTGTTTATAACAATTTTAGTATCTTTACTGCTGTGGCTACCATTTACTATATTCCTTTTTGTTTGGTGGTCAGATGCGGATATTTTTAATTCCCTTTCTACCCGAGAATTTTTTCGTTTGGTTTGTTTATTGAATTTTTTGCATTATGCAAACTCCCTTGTAAATCCCATTTTATACACAATCAGGATGCCAGACTTTAAGAAAGCTCTGCTCTCATTGTTCAGACCTCATCAAAGAGAAAATGTTGCTATCCCGCTGAATCGTTACTAATGGAGGGATATCGCAAAATGTAATTAGTCAACCTGGTAAATAGCTATATAAGAAAAAAAAAAAACATGTAAAAACATACATAGAAGCACATTTAAAGCTACATTAGGCTATATGTTAAGGAAGCTCCCCCCCCCAAAAAAAAAAAATAAAATAAAATAAAATAAAATGAAATAAGACGTGATGAAGAAATACTTAAAGTGTGTGCAATTGGGAACTCTACTTTGGTGGAATGCGATGTAGGAAGATAAGTGAGGCTACGTTAATACTTTGCAGGATAGTTATTGCGGAAGCAGGAAAACCATTCAGGAAATATACGCCTCAAATACTATACTTTTGAAAACCAACAAGACAGCCGCTCTCGCACACCATGTAAATGCCACACGTCACGCAAAAGAGTAGAAATTCAAGCGTACTGACTCCGGCACCGCAAAATGCTCCAACAGCCCCAAGAGGTGCACCGACGATAATTCCAGGGCCAGTATAAAGCTAAAGGCGTCGCCAGTGGTTGAGAGAGCGGCCGAGAGAGAGCCCAAACCGACAGCGGTGTAGTGATGGCGGTATGAGCTTTCTTGTATTTTTTGGCGACTTTTCTGTAGTTCTCGATTTCTTCAGAAATTTGTTTTTTAACGTCGCCTATTCGAGACAACCGAAAGTTGTCAGGCGGCAACTCCGGATAGATTCTCTCAAGTGGTGCACTTGGCAGCGCGTTCGAAGAGGACATTGTATATCTACCTGGAGTTATGAAAACCGGGTTAGCAAACATTTTGTAATTTTTCTCAACTTCCCCTGTCTAATAGCTTGTTTAGCGTTGTTTGCATATGTCTTTTGTCTATGCCTATTTTGTGGTTAGGGATTTGTGTAGAAGTGGATGTAGACAGAATTACTATCTTACCCACCCCCTCCCTCCCTCCCTATTTTATTTTTGTCCCTACCCACAATTCTCTCTTCAACACAAGTAGTGAGAGTTATTTGAAATCAGTGCTCGCCTGAAGTTGGTTTCGGTGCCGTTTTGCAGTTTACTTTTTGATATTGGTCACCTTGAGAAAAGTTTCCCGGAGAGCATCATGTAAAGCTCTGAGATAAGACAAAGTATGTACTAAAACAATGGATAGCGTTTTTCTCGCGCTCTGATTGGCTACTCAATCAGTGAATATCCTGCACTTTTCACTGATTCACCACCAGTTCCTCCGAGCGAGCGTCCCCAAACTCGCGTAAGTTGCGAGCGAAATGCCTTTCTGGTTTCCAGCCGTAACAAACAAAGAAATTTCACAAACAATCAAGCAAGCTGTTCCCGAAATACATGAAAAAGGTGACGAACTTTGGTTTGGAAGTTTTAACAGGAAAAGCTTTGTCTTTATGACTTGAATTTAGCGATTAAACCGGTGAAAAAGTTTTTTGTTTACAAATGCAATTTGAGCTTAAGTCTTTGCACTTTATTTAGTTGACTTATTCACTAATAAGCTCGAAACTAAATTTAATACTCTTTTTCACAGAATGATGTTAAATACAAAAACAATTCACAACCCCTTTTGAAGAAATTTCCCTTCAAGAGCTAAACAAATGCCTTCAAAAGTTTCATATGTCAGCAAGAAAAAGCGACGGCATTTCGAATTCCCATACTTCTCTTTCTTTCTTACTCATTTGGAATTGAAACGAAAACTACGTTCATACACTACCGTAGTTAATAAAAAATAAAACCTATGTAGCTTATATAAAGGAGTCCCCCCCCCCATCCCCCCACCCAGGATTACTCCCTTGTACAAATATGGATACCGACGAGTTTGTGATTTTTGCGTATGACAGCCTACCGAGATCCTGTCATTTCCTCCCCATATGTGCAGAGCTTATACTTACCCGCCCCTCCCCCCCCCTTTTCTCCCACCTTCCATTCCCCTTAACATCGTTAAACAGGGGTACTGTATTAAGCCGTCTGAAAGATACAATCAAGGCCGACATCTCACGTCCGGAAATTCAAAGACGTTTGGATAACAGGAATGAGTCCAAAGCCCAAGGAATCCCTGTAGGGGAGTTTGAACACAACAGTATGGCTATTCGAAGCTCTTTTGAAATTTTTCGTCTCGTTAAAAACAGATTCTCGCATTTGAAAGCCATATTTTATAGAATCAACCTTAAAAACTTGTGTTTAATTGGCAAATTTATGGTTCAAAGGTAAAAACAAGCTTTCGGCAGCCTTTTTGCTAATTTCACTGAAACTTTTCTTGAACCTTCCTAGTCCTCCTGATTCACAATTGAAAATAAACGTCCACTTTCAACATTTTACCAAAAAAGAAAAAAAAATTCACAGTCTCCTAGTCCCTAATTTGGTCCTAGTGGTTTCGGTGAGAACAGTTTCATGGTTTCGATAATCTTTATTTGAGAAATAAGCTACAATAGGTACTGTCAGAACCGTACCAATCAGCTGTCACTAAAGTAATCACGTGCAAGGACGCTGTGGGTGTCTTTTTCATTCATCCCCGGCATTCGAGTGAAATCTCGCCTCCTCATCGATGAGACGAGTTTGAAGTTTGTTGTCTGTTGGATTTTTCTTTTCTACGTTATTAAAAAAAAAACGTTATGGGAAAGCACAAGCAAAAACAAAAGGCTGAGAGAGAAAGGTACGTGTAATACTGTGTTGTGAAATTTTATACCAATTTTTAGCTGACTGATAGATCTAAACGTGCCAAAAGCAAAGCTGCATGATTTTTCGTTTGTGTCGATCTGTGGACTGTAACGTGGCGGTAAACAAGCCACAAACATGAACGAAAGATTGATTTTTTTTCTCAATCATAATTGAATGTGATATGAGGTTTACGTCGTCCGTGGAGAAAATATCGTAGAAATGGACTGCTATATGGTTGTAAAACGCTTAAAACGAGCCCACGCGTCAGAAACGCTCAAGTCTCTCTTGATCTCTCAGTCATCTCAGACTCGGTCGAGGAACAGACGGATTTTTCATGTTTTCTTTCTCCAGTTGTGCTCCTGAATAGGCCTCGTTCACATTGAGGTCGCTTTCGGAAATTAGACCGATCTGAGATCAGTTTAGCCCGTAACTTTTTTTTTTTGTTTGAAATGGATTTTAGAGACCCCAGACCATCTCATAGACGCAGATCTCTTATTGACGAAGCCGAAGGTCAAATCCGATTATTGCCTGTCGGGAATGTGACAGGCGATGAAAGAGTGCATGCTCAAAATAAATCCTCAATTTTCGACGTGTTAAACAACGAATTTGATAGAGCCGTGAAGTTTTTTTCTGACAAAACGTGGTTATACGCACATCTTAAGTATGAACCAACTAATTTTTTGTTTTTGTTCTTTTTAACATCAAATTCAACGCGACAGTTAGTTTGAATTTCATTACCATTGCGCGCGCTAAAACCTCAAAGCAGTACGCGTCAACTTCTACGCGAGAATTTTTTACCCTCTTCAAAAGTCTTTATTGACACGGAGAGAGAGTTTTAAAAGGTCTTAGAAGAGAAGATAAAATGGTTTTCCAAGTTTTATTGAGACGGAAAACTACTCTTTAGTGAAGAGAACCAAAGACTTTGCAAAGAATGAATTGCACATGCCACAGCGTATTTTATTTGGCCAGTTACTAATAAAACGAGAAACCAGGCAAAAAGAGCCAAAACGACCTAAATGATCCACAACGATCAAAACTAATAGACAAAAGAGCCACAATGACCCAAAACAAGTTCCACCCTCCTAGGAACGTCAGCTAAAATTGATTAAATAATAAATATTTCACTGCTCTTTCATATCCGGAACGAAGGTTGATTTGTATGGTCTTTTTATACAAAAAGACTTCAAAACAAAAGAATAACAGGCGAAATATGGGCGTTGCATGCATTTTTCTATCAGCATGGCTGAAAATAGAGTTCACAAAAGTAGATTAAGTGAAAAATAGAGTCCTGAAGTCAGTCTCACTCTCTACTAATCACTAACCAGCTCCGAGATACTCCATCCCCAATTACATGGAGATTTGGATGGGATTAATTGTAGGACAAAACTTTAAATTGCTATGTCGCTGTTTCGCTACGTTTTTTTGCTCGATTTTGCGGTGATGTGGTGTTTATTTTTTTCTGCGGTGTTGCGATGTAGACAGTCCCCCAATGTCCCCCTCATTATTATACCATAAACCCTTACGGAACTGTAGTACATTTATTCCCGTAATTTTGTAAATCGAAAAAGAAAACAAACTTGTTATGCCTTCTAATAACGTCTTTCAATATAGCAAGATTCAAACACGAAAACAAAGTGCGAAGAAAAGCATTAAAAGCGGGAAAAAAAAATGGAATCCAGCTCTTTTTGGAATCCGAAATCCACTGTGCTTGAATCCGGAATCCAGTACCCGGAATCCGGAATCCACAGCATGGAATCCAGAATCCAAGACTGTCCTGGATTCTCTTACATGGGGCGAATGAAGTATGCCCATGAAATCGTTGGTACACACGGAGGAGCTTTGCTCCTGGGGCGTGCCCCTGGAGCATGCTCCAGGAGCAAAATCCCTCGTGTGCAGATAAGCCTGAAGCTGATGACGAACTGCCTGTTAGACGTTCTACCGGATCAACTGCAGGACATCATAGTAACCGATACCGATTGCCTATGTCTGTCCTGAAACGTTAGGTAGTGTAGTGTTTAGTGTTTAGCTCGCAAGGGCTATGACGAGCAAAAGGAGGGGAGAGTGTGACAGGATCACTAGACCTATAATTTCACTACTTTTCGTTATATCAAGAAATACATTATTATTTTATTATTTTGCTCCTAATATTTTTGCGCTTAGGAATTTTCCGGTTTGATTTAGCAAGCTTGTCCATCGCTTAGGAATGATTGTACATGTGCCCACAAACCCACGTCACAGGAAACTTTCCTAATATTTTTGCGCTTGGGAATTTTCCGGTTTGATTTAGAAAGCTTGTGCATCGCTTAGGAATGATTGTACGAGTGCCCACAAACCC